CTCTAAAGAGTCCCCTGGACTGCAAGGAGAACAAACCTATCCGATTTGAAGGAAATCAACCCTGAGTGCTCACTGGAAGGACAGATCCTGAAGCTGAGGCTCCAATACTTTGGCCATCTCATGAGAAGATAAATCTCCCTGGAAAAGACCCTGATGTTGGGAAAAGGTGAAGGCAAGAGGAGAAGTGGACGATTGAAGACGAGATGGCTGGACCTCATAAAAGCTACCAACATGAATTTGACCAAACTCCAGGAGGCAGTGGAAGACAGGAGGGCCTGGCTTCATGACCCATGGGGGTCATGAAGAGTCGGACACGACTTAACGACTAAACAACAACAACAGCAAGCCAGATAACCAAACTACTGAGCTACCTTAGCACAACAATACACCCACAACAATACACACTAATCACCCATCTACAGAAAAAGACAAAAGTCTATCTCACAGCCATAAATACTGCACTCCCAAGCCAACTACACCACAGCACAGGTTGCTGTCCTCTGAAGATGCCGGCCACAGAGACTGGCCAAACGTCAGGAAGAACAGCGTTCAGAACACAGCCAAAGAGCCCGAAAAACCCAGAAGAACCATACTGAGATATACTTTGAACTGGATTCCTGCACTGAGCAGGGGGTTGGATTCAATGGCCTAATAGGCCCTTCCATTATTCTGTGATTCTATGATTCTAGACCTTCAGGAGAGTGTTTTCCTGGACATGTTAACAGACTGAACCTTCTACATAAAACACATCTGTTCTGCCACTGAACTATTAATCCTTACCAATGCATGTAGGCCCTGCTTTCTAGCAATGTTTTTATATCTTCTTCTGCATCTCTTTGGGGATCACTATGTATGGATTGATAAGTAATAATATTACTAATAAGCAGCCAGTTCTAGGAAGACAATTCTTTCACTTGTACAAGAGGATGATGAGATAACCTCGCTTGCCCATGTTATCATGTTCTTGCTAATCCTAAATTCCTCCTAAGACCCTGGTGTCCGCAGAAGCAAATTATGAGCTATAAATGCTCATCCTGAAATAAAACTTTACTCTTTAAGTGCTATAATAGACGAGTAGATGTTGTCTAGAGGGGCGGGGTAAAAATTGAATGAATGAATGAATGAATAAATAAATATTATGCCAGCAAAACACTGTAAGAAGGAAGAGGGGGAAAAAATCCATAAAAGAAAAGATATTGGGGGAGACTTCCTAGGATTCTGTTCTTCTTGTCATTTGGGTTTAGAAAGAAAACAGACACATGCCCAGCCAAAGTTAACCACCACTATGAATATTACTTGGGTAACATTAAATACACTGTTCTTATCTTGGAGAAACAAGTCAGAATTAAGTGTTGATCATTCTGACTGGAATGCTACTGAATTTTGAGTTCACAACAGGGGAAATAATACAATCCAAACAACCATCACTCCGTTGCACTTAATTGTTCTACAGCCTGTGAACACCACACTAGCCTAAAACCATGTCGGCCCTGGCTTTCAAAACCAGTCTGACCACGCTGTAACATCTGTCTCCCCGGGTGCAACCACAGGCATGCCCTGTTGCAGCATGAGGCAAGGAGCTGACATTCTGCCAAGACATGCGTCTAAGAGCTCAATATCATGTTGCAGCACAAGTTCCTTCAAAGAGAAGTGTACTAGAAAGGCACTTGGCTGCCAGCCTGGAGGAATAAATTCCCTGTGCCATCACTTTTGCAACTCAGGTATTAAAACAAGCAGAACAAAGACACTGCCACCAATCTCCATCCAAAGACCCCAGTAAACAGTCACACACCTCTCTTGCTGTTTTATGTCTGAAAGGGAGGTCCACGTTATCAGTCCCGTTTTGACTAATTCACTGCATTTCAATTAAATGTTTTGTATAAATATGGCCTTAATTAAGATCATTCACCTCCCAGACACAAATATTTGTAAACTAGAGTCTGCTTCACCACATAAATCATTTGAAGTGGACTCTAGAGCCCAAAAGCTTATGCTATAATAGCTTTTTTGGAGTTTATTTAAATGCTGTAAGGTTGTTATTTCCGGACAATATGCTGTAAAAAGACATAATCTACAGTGGAAAGAAAAAATGGTAAAGGCAAAGTTAAAAGATGGAAAAGGGTTTATAGATTATGAGATTTCCCTATTTTTTTCCAATTCTCAGCATGCAATAGGAAACTTGAATAGAATATATTATTTACATCAGATATTGTTGGACTGCAGTTCCCAACAGAGTGGGTTGCCTTTCTCTATGGTCTTTCACCAAACCGGCAGAAAATGGCTTTTTCATTGCCATATTACTCTCAAACTATATTGGATTGTAGCCTTCAAATGTTCTGTTACCAGTAAGACGTTCAGCAGTTTCCTCAAGGAAGTGAATGGATGTTCAAAGCACCTTGGTTAGTGTTGAAGGTCGCTTCCAGCTGGGCTGGGGGTACCTCTCCCATTTGTTGAAATATTGGGCTGAAGCATCTCTCCATCCGAGTTCAAGAGCTGCTCCAGGTTAGTATAGTGATACTATAATTTCTGCACCCATCACTTTCCCTGTTTGCAGTTCTCACTGCACATAGCTAGAATATGCTTGTGGAAGATGAAAACAGACAAACTGATTTTGGAACGAGGGTTTGCTATTTCAAATTACCTTACCTTGCAGAAATATGCAGTTATTTGCTACTTTAAAAAAAAGACCTACGGATGTACAAACAAAATGGGAACGCTGCAAATCCTATCTGGCTTGCCAAGAAACTGGCCCGATGTCTTTCCATTACAGTACTTGCATTTATTCAAGATGTCCCCTGCTTCCTTGATCCCAGCCCTGGCAACATGGAATAAAAACACAGTCTACAGAGCAGTGTATCTTTTGCAAACACCGGGAAAACGTTCATGTCATAGCCTGTCCAGAGATACCTGCGAAAGAGAATGCTGGACTAGACAGACAGCTACACTTACCTAAGGCTTAGTACAATGTGGTCTGAAACCCAATGAAGAGAGCAGTGCCTTGACGTTATCCATCATCTCTTAGTCCCTGGATGAGCATATTTACCCAGGCTACCTAGCCATCAGAGTCTTCCCTCATCTGGAGAGACACACTGTGTTTCTATACCTAGTTTTCAAAAATGTACACATTTACACCTATAACGTATATGCAATATTCTCTTAAAAGACAACGATGTTGGGAAAGGTAGAAGGCAGCAGGAAAAGAGGAAGCCCAAATATGAGATGGACTGGCTCCGCAGAGCAGTGGTTCTCAACCTTGAGTCCCCTGATGTTCTTGGACTAGAAGTCCTAGAAGCCTTCACCACTATCTGTGCTGGCCAGGATTTCTGGAACTATAGTCCAAGAACATCTAGGGAACCAAGACTGGGAGGGAAGCCACAGCTGAGCAGGTCTGTTGAAGAGAGGACATTTTGGAGATGGCTCATTCATTCATAGGGTTGCCCTAAATTGGAGGTGACTTGGTAGTACATCACAACAACAACAAATGTTCTCTTCAGTAGGCAAATGTGTCCCCATAAAGCTAAGCCCACTGCCTCCTCTTGGTCATTGGCTCCTCTGAGTCCACCTTAACTACTACATTTTGTGCATCTTTTCAGTTTTCCATTTGCCCCCTAAGGCTAGAGGTGGACGCGCAGAAGACTCAACCTCAGAAGGAAGGCCTTATAGATACGATCTAAACCACCCGCTGCCACTGAACTCTGGTCTCTTCCCAAACAGCGATCAAAGTTTACAAGCCTTCTCTATCTTGTTTTCCCACGGTGCCTCTTAGGTATTTATTAGTCAGAAGAGAAAAAAACATGCTTTTCTTTTCGGAACATCAAGGGATGATCGCGGCCAAATACCAAGCTCCAAGAGCATGTGCAGAGTGTTTTTCGCCCCCCCCAACGAGGTTAAAACCAGTACCAGCCTCTTAACTCCTTTCCTCTTTTCCGCCTCAACATTCAAAGATTAGGTTCCGAGCGAAGCCGCCGGTTTCAAATGGAAACTTCCCCACCACCCCCAGCAAAAGCATCACCCCCACGGGTCGTTTTAGAGAAGCACGTGGACGATGGAGGATGCTTATCCGGATCCCACTCACTGGTCCCTATCGCCTACCCGGTGGCTTGAATCCGCCGCTGTTGCCCCACTTTTGGGGAGCTCTCCTTTCCTAGCCCCCCCGCTTCTTCCCGATCCCGCCACCTCAAGGCTCCTTCCCCACGTGTCAACCACCCGAGGCGCGCCTCGGCGGTTCCTCCGCCGGTCAAAGGGCAGCCCATGCCGGCAAGGCAGGCTACCCGGGCTGCCCTTTGTCTTCCCCGCTCACCAAGTGCACAGCTTCTCCTTCAGCCGGACCCAGAAGAGGCGACGGGCGCTGCCACACGGCTGGGCGGGAGGAGAACCGGGAGCGGGAGCCGCCGCCGCCGCCGCGTTGGCCGCGCTCAACTCGGGCGATGCGCTGCCTTCCATGACGCGCCGGCGGCGAGAGCGGGCTCCGAGGCGGGGACGAAACGGAGGGAGGCGCCCTGGAGGGAGAGAGAGAGAGAGAGAGGAAAGGGAGGGGGAAAGATAAGGGGCGGAGCCTCGCCCGGCCTCCCGGAGGCCCCGCCTTCTCCTCCTCTTCCGTGGGATGCTATGGCTCCTGCGCGCCTTGTTTGGGTTTGGCGGCAAACCCTGACCCGTCAGCGGATCCCGCACCCAAACCCCGTCGCGCCCTGAGGGTCGCCGACGCTCGGACCAGACGGGACCCGATAAGGGCTGGTTTGGCGGCAAACCCTGACCCGTCAGCAGGTCCCGCACCCAAACCCCGTCGCGCCTTGAGGGTCGCCGCCGCTCGGACGAGACGGGACCGATAAAGGCCCCCGCCTTCCCGCTGACCTCGACGAGGAGCCGGTGGCGCTTCTGTACTCAGTCAAGGCTTCCCTCAGGGATCGATCAGACCGAGGCTTATCAATAGTATTGGGGAAGGCTTTCATGGCTGGGATCTAATGGTTGTTGTGGGTTTGTTGTGAGAACTCTGTGCTTTGTCTTCAGAGGCAGTGCTACTCCAGTCCTCTGAAGATGCTGGCCACAGACTAGTGAAACCTTAGGAAGAACAACCTTCAGAACACGGCCAAAGAGCCTGAAAAACCCACAACAACCATCTTATCAATAGCCTTTAGAAAGCTCTACTGTGTATACATTCCTGTTTTGTTTCTTCACATTCATTCATTCGTTTATTTATTTAACTTGCATGCTGCCCAATAGTGGCGTACACACTCTCTGTGCGGTTAGCAGCCAAGGCATAGAAACTACAAACACAAGAACAATTATAACAGGTAAACAAACAATAAACTATAAAATAAAACCACTTGACTCAACGAATCTGACTAGGTGAACAAATTTAAACCATAGTTGGACATCAAGTGAGGTACATTAATAAAAAGGCAGCTTTAAACAATTAAGTGGCCTTGAAGATAGTCATCTAAGTGAGGTTATCTGGAAGTTGAGTCATGGCAACTGGACTTCTTATCTTTTGCTACTCATCTAACTAGCTTCTTGAATAAGCTACTTGGATGATTTAGTGAAATGTTTCAGTCTAATAGGAAAGAAGTCCAGTTGCCATGACTCAATTTTCAGATAATTAAGTGGCTTCTTAAAAAATGAGAGAGGGCACCTGGCTGACCTCTACCTTTGAGTTTACAAGCCACTCTTTTCCTCCAGGGAACAGAAGATGCATATTATAGCACTTTAGAGACAGACAGATGTGTATCACTAATGGAGTGATGTCATTATTTGAACCACTAAAAATTAAAACAAAACACAAGATTTCATGGAGAAAACTCAATTTCATCAGGCTGGGCACTGCCCCCCACCCACCCATGGACAGTGCAGAAACATTATAGATAAGAGCCCTAAAAATTCATCAAGGCAGATACAGTATCTGTGCCAAGTCTGAATTCGCATGAATTGAGTTCAGACTTAGGTTGCTAGGGAGTGCAGTCTCGAGCACTATCCCTTGAAGCATGGCTGGAATTTTCCATTCCAAACTTCAAACAAAAGGTTTGCTAATTACTCTATACATTGTACATTCAGTCAAGTGGAAGTTTTTCTACAGAGAAGCTGGTACACCAGCTTCTTTCTTTCTTTCTTTCTTTCTTTCTTTCTTTCTTTCTTTCTTTCTTTCTTTCTTTCTTTCTTTCTTTCTTTCTTTCTTTCTTTCTTTGAATCATAGAATAGTTAGAAGGGCCTATAAGACCATCAAGTCCAACCCCATCCTTGATGCAGGAATTCAAATCCAAGGATATCTACCAGCGGTTGCTGTGGGTTTTTCAGGCTCTTTGGCCGTGTTCTGAAGGTTGTTCTTCCTAACGTTTCGCCAGTCTCTGTGGTCGGCATCTTCAGAGGACAGTGCTCAGTGCTCTGGTTATCTCTGGATATCTACCAGGTGGTTGTCTAAGTTCTCTTGAATGTCTCCAGTGTTGGAACACTCACTCACCGCCTCTCAAGGTAATTGGTTCCATTGCCATACTGCTCTAATAGTTAGAAAGCTTTTCCTGATATTCAAAAAAAATCCAGCTTCCTATAACTTGAGCCCATTGTTGCCTGTCCTGCAGTCTGGGATGATCGAGGACAGATCCCGCTCCTCCTCTGCATAACAGCCTTTCAAGTATTTGAAAAGTCTTATCATACCACCCCTCTGGCTAAACATGACCAATTATTTCAGTCTTTCCTCATAGGGCTTCCTGATCATTCTTGTTGCCCTCTTCTGAACTTGTTCCAGTTTATCATCCTTCTTGAAGTGTGGGGTCCAGAACTGGACAAAAAAACTCAAGGTGAGGCCTAACCAGTGCTGAATATAGGGGGACTAGCACCTCGTGGGATTCGAAAACTATACTTCTGTTAATGCGGCCTAAAATAGCATTTGTCTGTTTTGTAGCCACATTGTAGTGACAGTGACAGATTTTACTTTCTTGGGCTCCATGATCACTGCAGATGGAGACAGCAGCCACGAAATTAAAAGACACCTGCTTCTTGGGATGAAAGTGATGACAAACCTTGACAGCATCCTAAAAAGCAGAGACATCACCTTGCCAACCAAAGTCCGCATAGTCAAAGTTATGGTTTTCCCTGGAGTGATGTATGGAAGTGAGAGCTGGACCATAAAGAAAGCTGACCGCCGAAGAATTGATGCTTTTGAATTGTGGTGCTGGAGGAGGCTCTTGAGAGTCCCCTGGACTGCAAAGAGAACAAACTTATCCGTTTTGAAGGAAATCAACCCTGAGTGCTCACTGGAAGGACAGATCCTGAAGCTGAGGCTCCAATACTTTGGCCATCTCATGAGAAGAGAAGACTCCTTGGAAAAGACCTTGATGTTAGGAAAGTGTGAAGGCAAGAGGAGAAGGGGACAACAGAGGATGAGATGGTTGGACAATGTCATTGAAGCTACCAGAATGAATTTGACACAACTCCGGGAGGCAGTGGAAGATAGGAGGGCCTGGCGTGCTCTGGTCCATGGGGTCACGAAGAGTCGGACACGACTAAACAATTAAACGATGATGATCCACATCACACTGTTGGCTCTTCTTTCCTTCCTTCCTTCCTTCCTTCCTTCCTTCCTTCCTTCCTTCCTTCCTTCCTTCCTTCCTTCCTTCCAAATAAGTACACTCTTTCAAAAACTCTTATTTACTAAGGATGTTTATTTTTTTTCTTATCCCATATTGAATGCCTCATTAATATGTTGTCAGTATTCTGCTAGATTTGTCATTTTCCCAGTTTTCAAAGCCCTAATGCAGGGGTATAGCTGCCTAGTAGATTTATGACTGGTTTAAAAAAGGATATGAATATTTTAAATAGGTAAATAAATATGTACATAACATGTGTGCGACTGGTTTGTATATAGTCTGTGTGCACATGCATTTAAATAGAAGCATATGAATGTCAACAGAATATCCCATGGTTTGGTATTTCACACACTTCAGCTGTTCAAGCATATAATTTCAAACTTTTGACTACACATTGTAGAACAATTATGTTTTCTCTAGTATAACTTTAACCCAAGAATAAATATCTTCCTGGTTTTTGCAGCTGGAGATGACAAGCCACTGCAGAGTAAACACACTGATTTGACCAGTCCTACCCTTACAACAATAAGGTAATGTGAGTGCCAGATATTGGAGCAGCAGTGGCTTTCCCCCAAATGTTCCCCCTGAGCAACTGTCCTGAAACTCTTCAGCTACTCTGCTGAACCCAGCTATGGTAGCAGATTGTATTCTGTTGCGGTGTTTGACGAAGAATCAAATGCCACTCCAGTCTGGCTCTGTGTGCAGAAGGGGGAAGGAGCATCTTGTCCTTCACTTCAGGCAGCAAAATGCCTTGGGCCTGCCATGAATGTTGTGTACAGCACACAGTGAACTACAGTTGCCTCCAGTGTGTGACACAGCCGAGGCTGGGGGCTCCTGTATAAATGGAACAATGACTACACCCTAGATTTTGGACTGGAATTTGCAGGAGCTGTGCAAGGCTCTGAATCTTATTCCCCAAACAGGTTCAGAAGCTTGGGGACGTACTTCAAAGTTTGGAATAAAACCCAGAGTGGATTCACCACCATACTGACATCAGAGTCACCAGCCTTCACTCTTGTTATAGAATGGCAGGACCTGAAGCATGCTCCTTTGTGTTAAAACATGGATATTACAGCTGTATCCCTGACTGTATCTGTGAAATGTTGGAGTATATACAGTTTCTCTTGCTGGGTAGATCAGTGAGTAAAGTACCTGCTTGCAGAGCCAGATTTTGGGAGTTCAGTGCCTCACTGTGTGTCCCAGGAAAAAAAGCCAGCCTTTGTAGCCTTGGGCACGTTGCCCAGTCTCGGGATGCCCTCAGAAGGAGGGCATGTTAAACCCCGTTGAACATTGAGCGTTCTATGCCTAAAAAGCCCTGGAAAGGGTTGACATAAGTCAGAATTGACTTGACGCCATGCTCTGTTTATGATTATACAGTTGTGCACTAATGTCCTCTTGATCTTTTGTATCTTACATCCCACTAATCATTCAATCAAAGATTAAGCGTCCTACAATAATAGAAACAAGAAGCCAACTTCCACCGCCACCCCAAGGACATGTAGTGTTTACAGTCATTGTGTCACTATATTGATCTGTTCACGAAGGCTTTCACGGCCGGGATCTAATGGTTGTTGTGGGTGAAGATGCCGGCCACAGAGACTGGCGAAACGTCAGGAAGAACAACCTTCAGAACATGGCCAAAGAGCCCGAAAAACCCATAACAACCACTATATTGATCATTTACAGTAACTTTTAAGAACATGAAAAATTACAGCAGGACTCTTGGGAATGAACACACAAACAAAACCAGCAGCTCTCTTAGTAAATGAAACTTGTAATAATACTGTTGCGAACAAATTGCAGCACTACAGTAACTGTATATCAAAAATGCATAGTCCTTGGCAAGTGGCACATCATATTTGCAGGGAGACAGGAGGATCAGAGCAGAGCAGATGTTCTATAAATGTTCTGATAA